AAATAAATATATAGATAGATATATAGATAGGTAGATATATATATATATATATAAATAAATATATATATATATATAGATATAAATATATATATAGATAGATATATAGATAGGTAGATATATATATATATATATATATATAGAAACTCAGCCGACGAGATTTGAGGTATTGGTGCGCATACCTGTCCTGCGCGTTCTTCAGACACCTGCAGTTCTTCAACCCCGCCGCCGCTTGCACACACACGGCGTTCTCGTTCCTTGTTGCCAATCTTTGTCTCCAGGACAACACTACCAAGTTTATCCCAGATAAAACGGTCTGCCATGATACTGCCATCCACAACACTCTCACCGAGACCCCAGCTGCTATCAACCACCATCTCATCCAGGTCCGAGTTCAGCGGGTTTGCACTGAAGGCCACCCCGGCCTTACTCGGTTCAACCATCTCCATGACAACGGCCGAAAAGCTCGTGGGATGCCAACCTGTGTGGCCATACTGTGAGACTTTCTGGTCAAAGACCGAGGCAAAGCACTCGCGCAATGCGAGTTCAACGTGCTCGACTGAGACTCCCAGCTTAGTCACGAACAAACCGGCAAAGGACGCGCCATCCCCATCCTCCTCGGGTGCTGACGAACGCACAGCCGCCACCGCTCCGGGCCAGCTGCTGCATAGTATAGTAAGATGACAATGTAGACACGTATAATTGTAAAATGTATGGGTGATGATAATTGAAATTGCATTTAATTATGATGTACAATTAAGGCGAGAAACTACCATCAATATGGCACAAGTTCATTCTAAATAAAACATACGTTGCACTTGGGCAGATCGAATCTAAATTGGTCCGGTTGCAACCACCTGACAAAGAAACATACTTCAGCGTACATGTTAACTGAACAACAGTGGCGACCCACAAAGCATACGCCAATCGGCGAGAATATAGTGAATAAGCAATAGATATGACGAAATGTCTAGTACTAACCTGATCGCTTCTTGTAGGGTCTGCAGTGTCTGGGACTGCTCTGGAGATAGTAACAGATCATTTATTAGAGCCTGAATGTGCGAGCACACCTGCGCATCTGACTCGGAGAAGTGCCCTGTCTCTGCCTTAGTACTTAGAACTCCAGAGTTTTGGTCTGTGGCTGCTTTGTATTCGTTGCTGGCAAGGACCTCATTCATCCAGGTCTGAAAGAAGGCCTCAGAGACTGCGAACCCACGGGGTACGTATCGCTTCAGTTGTTCGGTGGTGCAAAGCTTCATCAGCCCAGCTGCTTTGCCCCCAATCCATTGTGTTGGAGGAGGTTCTTGCTCGTCATTCAGGCTATAAATATTATCAATTTTTCCCTCGGTCATATCGTATGCTGGAGATAAGTTCGGATGGGGACAACAAAGCGAATGATATATCTGAATAAGGCATCTATCTAATCGACAGGCATATGCGTGGCGTACATTTTCTACTGGCATAAAATCGGTTTAAATACCCAAAGGAGAACGGTTACACATTCATGAATCAATATTACCCTCCGACGAAAAAATGATTTTGAAAAGAGAACTTAAAAAAAATGCGACAGAAATACGAAGAGGGATGAATTTTTCTCCTTGTAGGCAATTGCAAGTTCCGATTCCTGATTGAATTTACCTCTTACTTAAAAGTTATTTAGGCTTTTTATGAACCGAGCAGTTTGCATCAGGCTACAGGCCACAGCTCTCTTTTAATACTAAGGGTGGTTCTTAACGAGGAATTTTCAATAAATCCGTTTAATTAAAGGTATTTTTCAACCAATGAGAACACATAGTTTTTTTTCTTCGAAAATTCATTAAACAACAAGGTGCTCAGAATTTGTTGTTAAAGGCTAACGAAAAACGAGAATACGTACCGTTAAAGTACGTTTGTCGACTGTGACGTAGAATAAGTAAAACCATTTCATTGGTAGAAAGGAAAACCGCCCTTTTACAAATGTGGTGTCAAATGTTGTGTGTTTTCACTGTTTTGAGCGCTCAATTCAATTGTGCACACACATATATATGAAGTTGTCGCTTATAGGCAGATCCACACTCAATTATCTATGGAAACAGTACAGAGGGAAAATAGTCGAATACGAACATAAAACGAAGAACATGAAGGAATCATATTGCACAAGTGTTATTGACTCGCAAACTATACCATGTCAGCATCGCAATAGCAGGCTAATGCAGCATCGAACCCGAATACTATGGGGACGCAGCACACAGTATCGACTTCCTCAGGGATTGAAACCAATCCTATGCAGAATGCTAGCACACCGCCGTCGAATCAATCAATGGCGATCACTTCTCAAGCGTCTTCGAGCTCTTCAGGTACTTCATCGGATTCGCAAGGAGAGACAGATTTTCAAGGTAAGACAAAGAGTGTAGCGAGGCACACACAGCAGCCAAATTATTCAGCATGGCTTCGTGAATCGGCGTACAAAGAACACATACGAAGGGAAGAAATGCTAGGTCTTACCGTTAGAGGAGTACCTGTCAAACGTGATGCAGCAGGAAAAATTATGTATTCACGAGAGCATGTTTATGATGTACATGACAAGAAGGGTTTTAGCGCCCAGTCCAAACAGCGAATAATCCAGGCGTTGTATGATAATGATAGGGCGACAACTGGATCTCCTAATTTGCTCTCGACCCCTCTAAACATAACACCAAAGACGAAGCACAAAGTAATAAGCAAGACAAAGGTGAAGAAAGACAAACAAGAAATTCCAGTAAAACAGAAGGATGAGGCGATGACGCTTTGAAAGACTGACAATGCAGTTGCACATTCTGTGCGATTATTACGGATGAAAAACACTACAACGGGCTTGTATCACTAGAAGAGGGTGATACACGAGCTATACTTGACAATAAGGCTACCGGAGACAGTAACGTATTTTGGGTCGATGTAACTCAAGATTTTATGAATCCCGATTATGCATTGAACATGACAAACTAAATAATTTTAAGTGATGGTGAAGCCGATACAAGCGATTCTGACAGCGATGACGATAATTTTGACGATGATATTCTGCGAGCACGAGTAACTATGCACGCTGACAAGCTAGCTGAACGGCGTAGAAAGAAGTCACAGTATCCAGCCTCTCCTCCACTCGAACAGTGGAAAAATGACCGGGATATCCTGAATGCTACCCAGAAGAGCATGGTTGAGCGCATAGGACGAGTCGATCCTATGGATATGACATTTACAACACAGGTCCGAAAGATGTTTGGAGACATTATTTGCAAGACAGCCATGAGAAACAGACTAATCTCTTGGTGGAAAGATGCCAAATCTAGCTTTGCGATTGTGCAAACGAACAAGGAGAAATCTGGCCATCATGCGCCCACATTTATGGATTTCTTTAATAGTAAGATTTGTGCACCGATATTGTACACGTACATATTGCCACGTGGGGATGGTGCTTTAGAAGCACTCTGTGCTGTTGCAGGAGGCCCACTAACTACTGGGATGTCTAGTGCGATTGAATGGGAAGACACATAATTTTCTGATTGCGCTGACTCCGGTATGTCCACAACATCAACCGGACGTACACGCAGCGCCAAACATGAAAAGCAGCTAAAGAGGAAAGAACAGGTCATGAAAGAATTGGCGCGTTCAAAGGAAAGCGACGAAGCTATGAACGAAACATTTTTAAAGGGGGTACAGATGTTCATTGATAGCGACAACGAGCGAGACATAGCTACACTTTCAAAATAAGTAAATACTGGAATTCAAGAAAGCTATACTAGAAGTTGATGATGATGAAGAGCTAGAAAAAATATTTACCAAAGCACTCCAAAAGGCAAAGGATGAGTTTAATGCTCTACTAGGTTAATGTGTATACTACATAGTGTATAATGTAAATAAATGAAAATAAAACAATTGTAGAGCAGCAGATATTTATTATTTATATTATCA